CCCTCAGACACTCCTTACACTGCTTCCCCTCGAGACCCTTCACCATCTTCATTGCTCTGTTTTGGACACTCTCTAATAGTTTAATATCTTTGTTATATTGTGGTGATCAAAACTGCCCTCAGCACTCGAGGTGAGGCTGGCCCAGTGGAGAGCAGAGCAGGACAATCCACTCCCTTTCCCAGCTGGTAAATCTGAGCCTGATGCCCTCAGGACACACTTGTCTCTGCTGGCTGGAATACCAGTGATACACATCAAAACAATGAATTTTGCCCCTGGAACTGTCCATGAAACAATAAAAAATCCTGCAAACCTGACCTTTGTACTCCAAGTCCTCCAGAAAGGTTTATGCTGTCATGGGAACTCTGAAACCTGAGGCCAAAATCCTGACACACAGCACACTGGTGCAACCCAGCAGCTGAAGATTAGAGATGCAACTCCAGCAGTGATGCAGGAAGAGAGGAACACTGAGAGCTCTGTTATCTGGCTTGCTTTTACATATTAATAGAATGGGAAGAGCCCACTTGTCTTGCAGCAAACAGGAAGAAAAAGAAGGCAGAACTTCACAACTCCTTGAAGGGGCACCACTGTTGCCACCTACACAGTTCTAATAGTCCCTGCCCCACTGGTCTATTGAGACAGCTTTTAGGAATACTAATTTCTTAGCTGCCAAGTTCCTAAAAGCCAAGTCAATAACACCCAGTGGATCACAGCACAAATATTACATGTTCTAAGAAACCCTTCTTGAAGTTTTGATCCTCAGAAACAGAAAACAGGTCCCAACATAACACTTAAGCTGTTTAGATTGAAGGATTGGGTCTCGGGGGTATAAAAGTGGGGTTTAATTGACATAAAACTGCAGAAGCATTTTCATGTTTTTGCTTGTCTACTATAACAAATCCCCCTTGCTTAGCAGTAAGGACTGTGGCCAGGTCCTGTGTAAGGATATTTTTAGAGGTTAGATCTGTAGCCAAAAGCCATCCAAATTCACTAGTGCCAACCTTCTCTCCAAGGTAATATTCGGGAAATAGGACAGCACAACTGCTGGAATGGCTCTGTGTTTTGGGAGACACCATCTTATGAATGAGATATGTAACTGGAAGATGTTTTTTGACTGCTAGCCAAAAGTGATGGCCTGAAACTGTGGGGAGCCTGCTCAAAAAGTGCTCATCAGTAGAAATAATTATATGGAGTGATTGACGATCAAGATGCTTTAATATTTTTAAAGCATTTTTACAACTCTGATATAGCACAAAAACCACAGGACTTCTCAAGAACTCTCAAATAATAAGACCTGCAGCAACACAATAGAACAGGGAGGTACTTGGTCAGAATTTGAGCATAATCTGCAATGCTATATCAACACACTTGTGTGAGCAAGACTTGTCTTTTTTCCTGAAGCTGTTAAATTTCTTTTGCTTTCAATACCTGGGTGCTGCCTTTCAAGCTGTGCATGGAGCCCTCTTCTGGAGGAATTTGAACAAATAAAAGCTTAAGAATGCAGCAGTGTGGGCTCTGCATTAGGGGAAAGAGTTTGAGGACTAATTTTCTCTATTCACTCTAATGACAAGCTTGGAAAATCTACACATTATTCCAATTCACTTAGTTGCAACCCAGTGAAATGTGACAGTTATTGTTAAAATTATCAAAAATATGGGGGTTTTCCTCATCTTGTAAGCCTTTCTTACAAAATTTTGAGTCATCTCTCTGCATGAAACACATAACATAGAAAAGGAAGCCTATGAACAACTTTTGTCTTAAATATTTTGTATTTTGGTTTTAGAAAATATCCTTTGGGGAAATATAAAACATGGAGATTTTTTAATCTATATCAGATCAGAATATGCATTTACTATTTACTGTACTCTGTACAGTAAAGTGCATAAGCTACCAGAGTACATTTAGTTTTTATTGTCAGCATCAGATCAATAAAGCTGTATATTATAGTTATGCTTTGGAACTTTAAAGGTGATTCTGAATTAAAGGATTACTTGAAACATCTTTCTCAGTTATTCCAGCTGATGCTCTGTTTTTCTCTTGGTGAAAACAGAGCAGTTGGTAGTAGTGTAAACTAAATCTTTGAAAATGGAAAAATTAATTTATTGCCCACCTGTTTACAACAGTTTTTGCATACATAATGGGCTGCTTTGATATGAAAAAGTAATTCTCCATCTTCATCCCTTTAATGCCTCAAATGGCAAATATTTTGTACTTTAAAAATGCTGTTGAATTAGAGGCAGACCAAGAAAACAAAAAACCTAAGTTACTAAAGCAAACAACCCAAGTTTTTTCACTAAAAATAAACCTTCTGTAGTTCACGTTCCTATTGACATAGAAGAACTTCCTCAAACTTTTTTCTCTATGCTGTAAAACTTTTCTAGCATTACTTTGAAACTAAGTTATCCACATCTTCTGCTTCCACAAAAAAGATTACTATATTGCTTCTGTTTAGAAAGAATTCGATCAAACTTGGTCCTTTCTGTGTCCATGAGCATTGTGTCATATGAGACATTCTTGCTACTCCTAAGGGAGAAAAAAAGAAAACTTGCAGAAAAAGATCCCCAAATGTGTTACAACCACTACACAAAGCAGATGGCTGCATTTGTTTAATATGTTGTTTCTCACATTCTTCTGTTTACTTTTCCTGTCACACGAAAGCTGTGCATGTGGGGTGTCAAAGAGAAAAGCCAAACAGCGTTTCAGTAAATCCCATTTTTTTCCCCAGCGTGGCACCCACTCCAATTCATACTTTAAACAGTCAATACTCAGCAGCCTAGACCTGAAGACAGAATTACATACACTTCCATATTACAGTCTGATTCATTCCCCAATTCATTAACTCTTAGACACAATCTAGAAGATAAACTTGGAGATACATTAGTTCACATGGTGGCGAGAGACATGGCCAAATAGAGCTGCACATGCTGATAAAGAAGGTGGAGTGCATTTGAGCACTTAAGCTAGAAGCAAGGCTAAAGCACCACAAGCTCAGCCCTGTAGTACAGCAGAACTCAGCCCAGCCTGGGAAGAAACTCTGAAGTATCACTGAAAGTAGTCAATAAAGTGCACAGGTGTTTTCAGAGTCAGGTGACTTCACCTTGTCAGATTTAAGTAGTCATTAATGTTAAAAAAAATGCCAGCTATGTTTAACAGGCCCTAGAAGTCCATCCTCTTGTATCACACACATATTGCTTCCCTACAAGCAACCGCTAAAGAAAACCCAAACTCAAGCTGGTTAATTCGGCGGTGTCTTAGAGAGGCAGTACCAAAAAATAAAAAAAAAAAAGACTGAAAACAGAGAGAAAGCCAAGCAAAGCAGATGGGAGGTCTCAAAGCCAAGATGAGAGAGCACCAGTTCAGTACAGCCACAGGTTCCCTTTCCACTGCCTGTGCCCTCTCCCCCAGCCCCTCTGCTCCCTGAGCATTGCCTCCCACTGCCAGCCCGGGCTGGATCTCAGCCCACTGGTGATAGCTTCTCGTCCCCAGGAGCCCTCTGGGTTTCCCCAGCCCACGGGACAGTGTTCAGCCCCCCCAAGCAGCAGCTTGGCCGCTGTCCTGAGGCAGTCCCGGCAGAGGCAGAGGCTGCTCTCGGACACTGCCAGGGAGCCCCAGCCCGGGCTGGCAGAGTGGCCCTGCCAGGAACTCTCCATGTGGCACCAGCACACGCTGCTCGGCACCAAACCCATGGCCCAAGGCAGCTGCTTTCATTTGTTCCACAGCCCGGAGCAGGATTGTCATCCCGAACCCACCCAAATGCCTTTGTGCTTGCTCACTGCCGATGCCCAGCCACCCGGGCTCCTGCTGTCCCACAGCTCCAGCCGCCCGCGTCCCTGCTCGGGTGCAACCAGGACCTGAACGTCCTGACCTTGATCCACAGCATGTGTGCATCCTGCTCACCCTACCGCCCCTCCTCGCACACCCTGGAGCTGCTCTCAGCAGTAAAGCTCTCCCAGTGGTGATCCCTCACCGCTTTATTCCTTCCTGCCCTGTTTGGGATTAGCAGACCTAATGCCTGCTGGAGGTTGCGGCTACACAAACACGGGGCTCAAGCTCGGGGTCCTGAGCACTTGTTTGACACTAAACCCCACCAGCCTTCTAAGGGTTAACAAAACCACTCGATCGCGAGTGAAAAAGGAATTAACTTTCACCCCTGCTCAGTGCGGAGGATCTCAGCCCACTGCCACTAAACGCAAGTTTACAGAGCTCCTAAAACAAAAGGAGGAAGAATGCACTTTAGGTGGACAGCAACAAAGGATTTCCGAGGCTGCTGTGAGCTGCCCAAAGTGAGCCCTGAAACAGCAGCGAGAGGGAAAGAGTGATCGGAGGTGCTGAGAAGTGAAACGCAGCGAGTCCCTGGGCTTTGACAGGCAGCAGCAGCGGAGCTTCAGCAGCTCCGTGTTTTTAAGGCTGGGTGTTTTTTCCTCTGCTCTCTGGCAGAGGGGGATCTATTACATTTAATAAGAGAAAGGCTACATAGCAAGTCACTAACGGAGTATTACACATCTATCAGGAGAGTACGAGGAAGGGAGCCTTTTGCAAGGTCTGGTTTTATTTTGCCTCCATGTTCCCCCCCCTCCATTCTTTTATTTTTAAAAAAGGCAATAAATAACGTGAGCTGCCTGTAACAGCCTATAAACCTACTACCCAGCACAAGCCACAGAGGAAAGAGGCAAATCAAAGTTGCAGCATTTGATATGACAGAAAATATTGCCGCTGCAGCTGCAACCGAGACACTTGAAAGATTCCCCGCACCACCCTTCCTGAAGGGAAACAAAAAAATGCTATATATCACCCAGCAAATTGGTTGTAATTGTAAATCAGGGAACTATGAGATCCTACATTCCTAGCAACTGGCTTAGAGCAGAGATCCTGCATCTTTAAACAGTAATTCAAGCAATGTATAATTACTCGGAAATCAGAGCTGAATTTCAAATACTTTCAAATCCAAAACGCACAAAAGCAGAAAGATGAAAGAAGGCAAGGAAAAAACACACATTTCTTACCTGGGACAGCAGAAAAGACAGAGTAAGTTGAGTTTTGTGCTGCATTTTGCCAGACTAGAAGGTACCAGAGGCTTTTTCATTCATGCACTCGGCTGCACTGAGCATATTTTCACTGTGAAACAGCCTTTGAGAAGAGACTCTGCCTTGAGAGCCAGCCAACTTCCCAAATAGATCAGCAGCATCATCACTAAAGCATTGGATAGAGTCTGATGACCAGAACCAATGGCTTTACAAGGATGATTTCTTCACAAAGCATCCCCATTTTGCATCACACATATTGGGCAAGCACCTCTACAAACACAGCACCTTTAGAAAGCATTTTGCTTTGGTGTATTTCTGTGTTTAGTTTCAGTCTAACATCATGCTTTACAGATCTCAATGGTATTTTCCCTTTCAGAGAATGGAATTGCACAGAGAGAAATAAAAGCAACTCTGAGCACCACTGCAAAGATATTCTCTTTATTTAAATGTTAATAAGGTAAACTTATTTTCGATAATTCAAAAAAATGACCTCTGCAGTTTGGGTTACTTCCAAGCCTTAGAACACAGTGAAATTTTCAGTGCAGTAGAAGTATAGGTTATATTTTGTGTTTTCCCCTCAATCTCACAAATCACAATGAAGACAGATCCATTCTAGCCTGCAGAAAAAATGCATCATAAGGCAATAGATTTTATTAACTGCTCGGGTAATGGCAGAATTGGCTTTTAATTCAACAAACTGGAATCTAGGACAGAGTTTCGAAGGTGCCTGTCCTTCAATGAGAAAAAGTTTTCCTGTTTGAAAGAGGGGACCTGATGTCTCAAGGACCCGCTTTCTCTGGATTGGTTAAGTTGCAGCCCAGCAAGCAGCACAGGCAGATGGACCAAAGATTAGGAATGAATTCCCCTGAGTTCATTTCCAACTCCACCTCTCTTGCCACTCCCCAGTATCACAACACTCCAGTCCTTTTTTGAGTTGTCTCCTGGCAGTCACCGGGGTTACTTAACAGCACCCTTCCCCCATTTTTAGAAGGATCAAAAGTCTCCTCAGCTCTCATCAGTGATGTTTTTCCCCTCACTTGCTCATCCAGCAGAACCAGCTGCCATCACTTTCTGCTCTGCCCCACCACGGGTGGCTGCTGCAGCAGTGGAGATGAGAAGAAACACGGGGAGGGAAAGGCAGGTAGGCAGATACGAAGGGATAAAGGAGCTGCCAACCACTTTGAGCTCCCCAGCATCAGCAGGAGCTTCCAGCTGTGAATAATGTTGTTTGATGCAACCACTGCTAGTCTACTACTCAGAGCTTACATCTTCCTTTACATACCCACTGGACCAAAACTGAGGGAAAACACTGTCCTTCCAAGTCTAAACCCTCACAGGCAGCAACAACTCTGTTCTAGTACCTCCATTACACATGAGTTTAATTTAATACTCAAGTTGGAATAGACTCCAAACAAAACCCAGCAGGAACTACCAGTAGCAATAATAATACTCTACATAACCACAAAAGGTTCACTACTTAGACACAAAAAGAAAAAAAAGCAGGAAGATTGCTTTCTTTTTCATCTTTTTTTTTTTTTTAAGCAGAAAGTCAGCCTAGAAGATTAAAACAGAAAAACCTTAGAGCTCTTTATGACTAGAAATACACGACTGACCACCTCCCATTTCTCTTTCAAGGAGTCAGTTTGGCACCAAGTATAATTCCCAGCCTCAGGAAGAGCACCTAGGAATTGATAAGCCAGGCTGGATGCAGGTTATGGGGCACATCCCACAGAAAACAGCACCAGCCATTTCACAGCGGTCACAGCCTTTGTATGGAGATCCTAGGATTTGGACATTCTTAACCCCACCAACAGGGGCCAAACAGCTGAGTGAGTTACCAGACCAACCAGAAGTAGGTGGTGGCTGAAAGAAACAAAGGCATATCTGCATCCTGTTTTACAGGAAAGGCACTCATTAAAAAAAAAAAAAATAGAAGTCATGGGGTAGATGATTCACTGCGAGATAATGCAACGTGAGATTTGAGCCAACATGAGCAGTTATTTTCTGTACAAGGCACAACATGGCTATGGGGCCCTCCCAGCACAAGGGCAGAGGAGAACAAGGACTTTGAGGTGTTCCCAATGGTGCTGAAGGAGCAGAGCCATGCCTGCAGCCACGGCACCCCTCCATAGCCTGAGGGGCTGGGCACCACAGCCTGGCACAGGACAGGACCTGCCTCCCCAAGCGGCTCTCCAAAAAAAGTCACGTACCACAGCCCTTTACCTTCAGAAACAGCCAAGACCCTCTAGCAACAATTAAAGAGAAACTTATTTTTTAAAATAATTTTATAACATTTTACCTCCAGTTCCACAGAGCTTCCTCCTCCTGCTGCTGCCGCCCCTCCTGCTTTGGCCTCTACTCACAACTGCTCTTACTTACCCCCTAAAAGGACAACTATTGATTCCTGGAGGGGTGATAACCATTTCTAATGGGGTAATTAACCATACCTGGGGGGCTACATAGCCATTCCTTGAGGGGCTGGGCCTTTACAGGCCACCGCCAAGCCCCGGCACACCATGGCGCCCAAGCGTGAGGGCAGCCGTGCCCAGGGGCAGCGCTCTCCCACAGGCCCCAGCCACGCTGGGAACGGCCCTGTGGCACTGCTGGCCTCAGGACAATTCCAGCACTGCACAGCCCTGTGTGCTGGGCTTATTGGGGGAACTGGGGACCCCAGCAGAGAGAGGTGGGCAGCTGATACCATCAGGTGGTCAGGAGAAGGGTTTGACCACTTGCAGATGGGCCCCCAGCCCAGCTGTGTCTTCTGGGGTTAGGAGCAGAATCTTCTCTGTTAATTAGCTTATTAATGAATATAGGGTATTAATTAGAAATTAATAGTTGGTGCCTATGTCTCAGCTTTAGGTAACTGGAGGAGGTTCAAGCTCTGCAAAACTTTACTGAGGAGCTGGACAGGAAGCAAGACTGTAGGTGATGGAGTGTGGTCTCTCTCTCAACCCCAGCCTGAGACAAGTTTTCTGCACAAATGAAATAAAGATGAACAACATGGAGCAACAGTGATAGAAATAACGGCCTCAGGTTTAAAGCATAGCTAAGGAGAGGGTGCAAACTTCCCCTTTTATGGTGAGCTGTGCTTCTCCTCCCTGCCAACACAAAATGTGTAGCGAGCTTAGGCAGTGATGGAGAGGGTCTTGGTTTGTGACAAAAAAGCTCCTGCCAAGACCTTTTCTGATCCAGAACCATGTTAACTGATGGGTGTAATATGGTCTGTAGTCTTTAGACACAAAATGCCATCTTTTTCACTTATAAAATGTGGAGCAACTTAACATGTCAGCTCAGTCCCCGTCCATGACATTCCCTGGACACGGGGGCCAACACTGAGCTGAGGCTAATGTGAACACTGGTAATTGCCTGCAACACACAAGGTGTTCTCAGAGATAGACCCATTAGCAGATGAGGGAGTGACTGCATGCTGCCAGAAATGCCTTTTGACCTTCAGAAGATTTGCCCTATTTTGTAAAAGCTGAGGATCAGCTGCTGTGAAACTATCAGAACAAGGGACCCACTTTAATTTGCTATTAAAGTGGGTCACATGAGAAACCTGGATATGAGAGAGAGGGACTAATTTCCCCTGCTATAGTACTGGCAATCTCCAATCCTGGCTGCTTCACCGTGTTGTATTTTCTTTAAGCTTGGGAAAATGTTTTAACCCTGGGCTACAACTGAGGGTGTGACAGTAGGACAAGAAGTTGTAGTAAATGCACCTGGATTGAGCTGGAATCCATAGAGGAGTGAAATCCCATCTTCCTGCCTGAGGTTCTCCAGCAGGAATGAGTGAAGCCACTGGCTGCAATAATGTCTTATTCTGGGAGATAGATATTTGGAAGTCTACAACAGAACTGATTTAGTGACAGTTGAGGAATACATTTCCAGGTACTCTGGTTTTCTTGGCAATTCTATCAAAACAGGTTGGGGTACTGTTTTCCAGTCTTAGTGCAGCTGAAGTTTCTTTGGGAAAGATTCACAAAAATATCAGAAGTGGGGTTGCAGATTGAATTTGAACCCACGGCTTTTCATTATGTACCCAACCCAGGGCCTCTATAATATCCCAAACTCCTACAAGTCTTTCTTACATGAAAGATTTACTGGCAACAGAAGGTTTGGCATTAGTTCAGCTTTTTCTAAAACCTGTGGGGCTTCTGAATGCTTTGTCTACTCTTTCCCTACATCCCAGCCCAAACTCTGGGATAGTAAATGGGTTTGTTTTCGTACTTGGTAACAGGCAAGCCACAGGCAACTAGAACAAACTGATACTTCAGTGGAAAGAAATAGGGTGTGTTCCATTGTCAGAACATAACTAAAAATGGTTAGCCAAACAGAAGTTTTACGTTCTAAAAAAACCCTTAAGAGACCATCACACCCTTTTTCATGCAAGTAATAATAATCAATGAAATACCTGTTTTTGTGAATGCAGGATCCAATTTTTCAGTTCTTAAAGGAATAAAATCTATTATTGTTTGGGATTTGTATGTTTTTGGATCCTTGAACACTTTAGTATAACAAACTTCCAACTAACTGTTGAACTTCTACAACTGAGCTATTGTAAATCATTCTAGAGTAACAATTTGCAGTATTCTACAACTAAATTTCTAATCCTTACTTGAACCGGAAGCAAACTGTTCCTTAATTCAGCCTTAATCTGAACCAAGAGATACAAATTAAGATCATAAAGATGGTCAAACCCAGAGCTGTAAATGTCTCAGGCACTTTTTTGTTCTTTTGTGTATTGAAATAACCTGTGGCCTTCCTGGGGGACCCGCGACCTTCCTCTGTAATTGTACAAAACCCAGACTGAACCATAGCCTAATTCAGCATCTCTTCCTTGGCTGAGCTACCTGTTCCCATTCCCCACATGTTCCTGTCCCTCCTTGTTTTAACACCACTGCTCCTTTGCCCTCCCTCCTACACATGATTGTATCTGGCCAGAATACAGGTGTTCTGGAAGCAATTACAGCTCCGTGCAAGGAGAATATGATGCATGGCAGCTCATTAGTTGTTTGCCATTATTATGGGAATGACTCCTTGTTTCCCTTCTGACCTCACCTATTGTCTAGGAAATGAATGGATATAGGAGTAAGAAAATTTGTTTTGGCAATGGGATCTGTATTTTCCAAGGCTCAGTAATATTGAATTCTG